TCATACTTGCACTCTCAAAAATCCTTTGTTTCTATAGGTTTAAAAAAATCTAAATTGTTAACAAGTTTAACAGGTACCACAAGGTAGTGTATTAGGCCCATTTTTATTTTTAATGTTTGTTTCACCGTAAATATTGTATTACAGCTAAATATGGCACAGATCATCATCAATATGCTGATGATACCCAATTATATACTTTCATTAACCCAGGAAAAGATAACATTTATAAAATCACTGAATGTGCTAATGCAGTCACAAAACGGTTTCTAGAAAGTTGACTTCTACTTAACCCAAGCAAAACAGAATCTATCTTATTTATATCTAGGAAACAAACTGGAAAATTTAAAAATGATTCCAAAATTACATTCTCTGGAACAACACTAACTACAGTAAATTTGGTGAGATTCCTAGGTGTCACCCTAGATTCAACACTCTCCTTAGACCAACATATGAAGCAGCTAACATAATTGCTTGTGGCATTATTAACTTTCAATTGTAACAGTCTTTTCTCAGTTTCTTCAAAAAAAATCTTCAAAAACTGCAATGTACTCAAAATAGCTTTTGTTCTTGCATTGTTTCTCATACAGTCCTTTGTACTCAAAATCTAAAATCTCTTATTGGTTACCAATCAATCAACAAATAGTTTATAAAATATCAGTTATTATATTTAAAACTTTAAAAATCAAATCTCCTGCATATCTATTCAAACTTTTAGAAACCCGAATTTCAAAACAAGGCACAAGATCATCAGACAGTTGTCGACTTACTCGTTACCTATCAAAAACTTCCCTAGGATCAAAGTCTTTCGCCATGAATGCACCTTGAATATGGAATGGCTTGTCCATAAAGACACGTAACTCAGCCACTTAAGAAACATTCAAAATAAGACTAAATTACAAACTTTTTGTATACCCTTTCAAGAACTCATAGTAAACTTTCTCAGCGCTTCTTAATTACTTCATCACTATTGTGATTGTTGTAAATGATAGCAATTTAATCTCTAATTATTAATTAATTAATATACATATATATATGCATATATATGTATATAAATATATATATATATATATATATATATATATATATATATATATATATATATATATATATATATATATATATAAAATATATATATATATATAAAATATATATATATATATAAAATATATATATATATATATATATATATAAAATATATATATATATATATGTAGAGTTCCACGCGGTTATTAAAACAAATCTCGTTTAAAAAAATAAAAATAATGAATTTTCTTTTCCATTACTATAAGTATATAGTCTTAAATGTTAAAAAAAAAATAATTAAAGAAAAAAAAAAAAAAATTGAACAAGCTATTTATAGATTTTAAAGTAAACGGAAAAAAATAATTTCATTTAAGAAAAAGTGTTTAACTTTCATTATTTTTTTAAAATCTTGTAGTGATCCAAAATTTTTCCAATTAGTTTTAAATTGGTCGGCTGCAAAGCTGGTTTAATATGTTAAAGCACTAACATTTAATTTTTAGTTATTTCACGCGATATAAGCAAAATAGTTTCTTACACAATTATGATGCGTAGCTGACCGCTAGGAAGGAAAAGTTGTCTTTTTTCATCAATTTAAATTTTTTTTTAAATCCTTGTCGATTATTTATGTCAACTAATTAGCCATATTAAGGTTTTGCAATAATTAAAAAAAATTGGCATCAAATAGTTAAAAAAAAACCACTCAACTTCCTGTTGCGTAGCTGACTGCCAAAACTAAACATTTAAATGTCGCAAATTTTGTCAATTTTTTTAAATGCAACAAATAGTTTTGCCCAAACTATTTTGAACTTCAAAACATTTATAGTCAATTAGAAATTATTTAAAACTCCAAAAGACTTTATAGTCAATATAAAGATATGGAATCACTCCAGGAACCAGTTGCTTGCGCATCCAATGAAAATAAAAAAGGTGAGCATTGTGTTTTTATAGAGTTTTTAAGTAATTTTTACATTTATTTGAATGTTTACTTTTTTTATTACAGCCATAAAGATAAAAAATAGAAAAGCAATGAATCAAAAGAATTACATGAGTAGAAACCATGAAGAAAAGAAATTCAAAACTAAAAAAAATGCTAGACTTCGAAAACAAAGATGGAAAAAAGATTTTCGAAAAATTGCAGCTGATAGATTAAAAAGTTTAGAAAGAATGAGAAAATTTCAACTGCGGCAAAAAGACGCATCTTTATCTCTCGAATCAAATCACTCATCATTTGCAAATGTGCAAGTTAAAAGAAAGTATATAAAAAAATTGAATCGCTCTCTTCCCAAAAGTCTTGTTCAGAAAAAGGAACTGTTGTGTTGTTTACTCAATGAAACTCAACCATTAACTTACTCAATTCCTAAATCAACAAACAGTCTCCGAGAAAAAGATTTAGTGATTATACAAAATTTTTATTGCGACGATGAAATAAGTTGAATATCCCCAAGAACAGCAGATTATACTTCTGTAGTGATAGGAGAAAAAAAGGTGCGTGTTCAAATTCGACACATGTTATATCCGCTAAAAGAAGCTTTCGAAGAGTTTAAGCTAAACAATGCAGATATAAAATTAAGCCTGTCAAAATTTTGTCAGTTGAGACCAATTTACGTTCGATGTGTATCATCAATTCCTCATAACGTGTGCGTTTGCATGTTACATGAAAATATGCTCTTGAATCACTTTCGCGGGGTTCAGATATATTCACTACAATTAAAACAGGAAACTCTATGATTCTAAACTTTATTTGTGAAAAACCAACAAAACAATGCTTCAATGCCGTTTGCAAAGAATGTACTGTTTGTAATATGTTTGATAAATTATTACTTCAGATCGAACAATTTGAGTTAGATGCTTCATGGAATCAGTGGCAGAAACCTCAAGCAAAATCGTATATCAAAATAGAAAAGGTTAAAAAAGAAGGAACAATTGCAGTTTTATTATCACATATTAAAGAAATGCGTGCAAAGTTTATTATTCATTGTAATATCAAGAGCAGTCAATCGTCCGTATTTAAATTTAATATAGAATCAGCGATTCAAAAAGACTCAAATAAGGCTGTTATTCAAGTTGACTGGGCAGAAACGCAAGCAGCTCATTTCGGTCAAAATCACATTTCTATATTTACATGTGCAGTTTGGCATCGTCAAAATAAATCTTTTGCGCTAGTTTGTGATTCAAGCGATCATACAAAATTATCTGTTGTTCCAAACATAAATAAAATTATCGAGCTTCTATCAGACGATATTACAGAAGTTCATATTTTCAGTGATAACGCAACATCACAATTTAAAAATAAATATATTTTGGCATCAATGAAAATTTTAGAAAAAAAGCATACAATTAAAATGCACTGGCATTTTTTTGCTGCAATGCATGGAAAAGGAGTTGTGGATGGAATTGGTACCACTGTAAAACGTGTTGCGAGAAAAAATGTTTTAACTGAAAAATATATAATTTCTAGTGCTAGCGATTTGGCAGCCGCAACAAACAATTTAAAAATTACCATTATATTACTGACTGATAAAGAAAAGCTAGAGATAAACAACTCTCTTGGTTTGAGCACCTTTTTTAAGAAAACAAAAAAAATTAAAGAATTGCATAAATGCCATTACTTACAGGTTTTAGACGGTAACGTTGTAGGTGAGCAGCTTTCGCCAAATATTGCATAATATCAAAGGAATAGAAGCGTCTAGACATTTAGAAGTGATCAAGTAATTTAAAAATCACCTTAAAAAGCTGTAAAAACTTCTTAATAAAAAAATAAATATTAGATTTGTTTTGTTTTGCGTAGCTGATTGTTGCGTAGCTGACTGCATGATTTCTTAAAACGTTTTTTATTTACCTGTTATTGTTACTCTATTGAAAGTCTTACTTATTTTTTTCAATACTTTTCAAGTTTTCTTGGGGTGACTTTTTTTGCGCAACTAAGCTCGGAAGGTTTATTCAGTTTATCCCTAATACATTTCGATCAACAACAACAGCTTACACGTTTAAAGAACTTCTAGTTGTTGCTTTTTAAATTATTTTAGTTGTTCAATTATTGTCCAAATACTTGATGCTTTTAAAGCTCTGAAGATCATAAATATAACTTCAATGAAATAATTGTTTTTGAAGAAAAAAACGTTTTTATAAAAAAAAAATTATAGATTCGGAGAAAAAATAATTCAAACTTTAAATTAAAAAAACAAGCTTTTTTGCGCGTTGTGTAACTGACCGCTGTCTTTTATTTCTATTTTACTCAAATTGTCTTCTTATTTTTTTTTTTTGTGAATAATAATAAAAAAGGATAATTTGAGTGTAAACGTAAAAAAAAATTAAAATTATAATATAATGAGTCAGTTAAATTTTTAAAAACATGTTGCGCTCGTTGCGTAGCTGACCATAGAACTCTACATATATATATATATATATATATATATATATATATATATAAATATATATATATATATAAAAAATATATATATATATACAAAAATATATATATATATATAAAAAAAATATATATATATATAAATATATATATATAAATATATATATATATATATATATAAATATATATATATATAAAAAATATATATATATATATATATATATATATTATATATATATATATATATATATAAAACTGCTCAAATTCTTTATAATATATATATATATATATATATATATATATATATATATATATATATAAAATATATATATATAAAATATATATATATATATATATATAAAACTGCTCAAATTCTTTTAAAATGTAAAAGTATTATATATTAAATAGCGTTATTAATATTATATATAAACTGCTCAAATTCTTTATAATATATATATATATATATATATATATATATATATATATATATATATATATATATATATATATATATATATATATATATATATATATATATATATATATAAAACTGCTCAAATTCTTTTAAAATGTAAAAGTATTATATATTAAATAGTGTACAAACAGGTACCTATTTTATTTTTGGATAGCAGATCAACAGCACAAGCTGTTTGAAGCTCAATATCATTTGCAAGCATCCATTTTTTAAATCTTTCACATGATATTCCATTATGCTGATTCAGCCACTAAACGAATAACCATCAAAAATGATTAAGCCCACTTTACTAGATACTTCCTCAAAAATAGCATTGCATCACACTGAAAAAGTCTTTTAGGCAAAAAAAAAATTTATTAAAATTGGTCTTTGCATAAAATTACAACAAAGCATTTTGTGTTTATAAAAAAACTAGGTTTTGGTTGCTAGATAATTCAGTTATTTTGTTTAACTTAACAAACAAAACAATTTTTTTAAACCTATCTGTTTTTATATCTGTTTTGTATTATATGCATGTAAGTCATGAGCCTAAAAATATTAAAATCAATTTTTCCTTTATATACAAATTTTTTACCATCACAAATATGATATAAAATTATATAGAAAAATGACTTTATTTTCTTTAATAAATTATTTAAAAATGTATTTTTTCCAGATTTCCATAAAAATTGATTTCATTATTTGAGGGAATGAAAAGCTACTAAAAGTAACTAAATACAACTGAGATATTCATAGATAAAGCAAAAGTAGTTTGATTGAATTACTGAATTAGTTTAAATATTTTTTTTGAGGAGAGTGTTGTTACTGAAGTAATAAAATTATCCACAAACCTAGTACCTACCTACTTAGTACCTTTACCTAACTAGTAACTTTTAATCAAAAAAAATTGATAACACAGTAAAATTAAAATAATTTGACAATTAAAAAAAAATTGATAATACAATTAATAAAATTAATTGAACTTAACTATAAAAAACAAACGAAAAAAAATTTAAAAATTCATAACAAATTTTAAAAAAAAACCTTCTCTCTGCACAAAAAACAGGTGTAATGATAGCATTTGTTACAACGCATCTTAATTTCACTACTTTCCCAGATAAAGCCATAACTCGGACACTAAAAAAACAAAGAATCCTTAAATTGTTGATAAGGTTAAACCTTGATTTTATTTTTAAATGTAATTTATAAGAAGTGTAGTTGGACACAAATTTTTGGTACAAACAATAACTTTTATTATTTTTAATAATTAATAAATATTAACATATATTATTTGTAAGACAGATAAGTGCCAACCTAAGATATTTGTACAAACAAAAATTTGAAAAGCCGGAAACCATCAGAAAAGATTTTGAGCTTTTTCAAAAAAACTTATCGTGTTTATAAGTTTTAACAAAATGCATCTTTTAATACTAAATCAATTGATAAAATGATACCATTATTAGATACAACCATTCTTCTTAATTCTTCAAACTTTCCTTAACTACTTTACTCTTATATATCCTGTGTATCAAGATATATTTTGTTTACACTGTGCATTCCATTCTGGAATTCACAGTGTAAATTTTTGTAAAATTCTGGAACAAAAATATCTTTAAGTTATTAAAAATATTAAGAAAAATACATTTACCTGGATCAACCTGGTTACCAGGTTACCTAGATCAACTGCTAGTCTAAATTAACCTAGTTATTGGATCAACTTGTTTTATTTTTGAAAATTAAACTACAACTGGTTGTTTAATTTTAGAATATATATTTTTTTGAAATAATGTGCAAAAAATACTAAATACTAAAATCATATTAAATACTAAATGAAAGACAGAAGAAATAAAAAAGTTTTGTTTTATTAAAATCTCTTATGATAAAAACCCCTTATGAGACCGTAAAGAATTTTTTTATGATTTAATACAAAAAAAGTAAATAATATATCATAATGTCTGTGTCTTGATGCCATGTCATAGTTATATTGTTAAGCTCATTGACTTACATGTGCGCACCATCTGAATTGAGGATTGCTTAATAAATTGAAATCATGTAATTTCTCTTGGAACAATGTATGACGTTCAGGTGCCAATTTATTTGTCCTCACAAAATAAAGTATCTACAAAAAATAAAAAATATTACTAAAAAAAGAATCAGCCACAACCTTACCAATATTTTAAAATGCACACTTGGGTACAACAAGGTTGGGAACTATTATGCAATTTATAAAATTACATCATATTTCCCAATAAAATTGCAAAATGGTTAACATCTTATGTAATTTGTAAAAATTTACTGAAATTAGAATCTCTGGTGATATAAAGACAAGCAAAGCATTTAGCAACAATGTCTTCAAAATAAGAAAACATTGCTCATTGAAATCAATTAGCATAATGAAATATTCTACCATACAGTTAAAAACAGTAATGATAAACAACTAATAATGATCATAAATAGAAATTGGCTAAAGCTCCTCGCACTCTACTATCACCATTAGTTACAAAAGTAAAAAGAATTTCTATAAAAACTGGTACCCTGCGTTCCACTCCCTGCGTTCCACTCCTTCTAACACAAACAAGAAGGTAATATGTTTGTAAAATTTAAAATTATAAAAATAGAGTTTCTAAAATTAAAGCTTCTAAAAAACAAAATTTTTAACTTATTTTTTTACATTTAAGTATATTATATGTTCTCTTAAAAACATATTGGATAACTTATAATTTTTATAATTTTTGCTTATATAAAATTTAAATAAATATTGAATGCGCCATTTTTCACTTAATACCTCCTAAGTGTAAATAACTATTTTTTTCAAGAAGTTTATACTGACTAACTTGAAAAAAAAAATCAACATACAAAAAGACAACAGTCTTGTTTTAAGAAACAAAAATTTATTAGTTTTCTAAAATTTTAAAATTTTGATAAAATAAAATATTCATAAAAGATATTACTAGATTTTAGAAGTACCTTTTATAGTATTTTATAGTATCTTTTATAGTATCTTTTATAGTATTTTATCTACTTCATGTCCTGCTGCCTTGTAGGATACGCTTTTTTAGGCTAAGGCTAGAAGATGCCAACTCCGACATAAAACACCCCCTACCTTGGGGCTCTTGGTTGAGTAAAGGCTAGAGATGGTGTCACGATAAAAATACTCATCTTAGTCAGATGTTAAATGCATCCGGCTGCTGTCTTGTAGAAGGCCTCCTAAGCAAAGACTTAAAGGGTAAACAGATTCTATCTGTGGACCAGCCTTGCACCCCTTCTTCATCTATTGGGCTGGCACAGATGTATTTTTAATAAATTGTTTCCAGTTTAGGATGTTGAACGCTAGATCTTCTTGACTTGATGCATAGGTTTTGCTTGTGTCTCTGTTTTTGTGACTAGGCAACTCATTCTATTATCTCCAAATGAGGGTACAGCTCTAAAACTCAGTTTTATGGTTCTGAGGCCGGCTGGAAGTCAGGTTTCCCGAACTCTGTGGTAGTTCTCAGAGAGGCTGATTCCATCAACAGCTGAAAAATATCAAAGTACTAACAATGCCATGTTGCGCATAGATGATGTCCCTGTTTGTACTTTTGGTGTGCATTGCCAAGGCCACATTGGATCCCTTTGTTACGGCTTAGAGTTTATTAATGAAAATGAGGCAATTGCATGGGCTATTAACATAGATAGTACTGAGTACTATCTATGTTTCGAGTCAAGTTCTTTAACAAATTTAAAAATGAATAAAGTAACAAAAACTATAAAACACAAAAAACCACAGTCATCACCAAGTTCGCTAAACCTATCATTCACTAATAATCGTAGTCTTCGAAGTAACTTTTCTTCTGTTGAGTCTTATCTCTTGCATAGTTCACCAGACCTACTTGCTCTTTGTGAGACTAATTTGAGTTCAGCTGTCTCATCTTGTGATCTTAGTGTTGATGGTTATCTTCCTTTAATTCATAAAGACTCCAATAGACACATACTTGGCCTGGGCATTTACATTCGTTAGAATTTACCCATTTGTCGGGAAACTAGGTTTGAATCCACAGATTACTCTTTTATGTACTTTCGTTTAGCACCACTTCACTCTATCACCTTTCTCTTTGTTCTATATATTGCTCTCCCTCATCTCAAGACTACACTCTTCTTGATGCTATTTCTGATCATATTGACCAAGCCCTCTCTCTTTATCCATCAGCCAATATTGTTGTTGTTGGTGACTTAAATGTTCATCACATTAAATGGCTTCGCTCTAGTGTCAGTGACACTCCAGGCATTAAAGCCCACAACTTTTGTCTTTCTCAATCCCTAACTCAAATAGTCAACTTTCTAACTCGCTTTCCAGACAACCCGAATCATTTACCTTCTCTACTCGACTTATGTCTTGTTTCTGATCCCAGCCAGTGCTCAGTTTCTCCACACTCACCCTTAGGTGCTTCTGATCATGGTTTGGTCTCTCTAAAACTATTATCTCATTCTTCTTCATCATCAGAATCCCCCTATCGTTGTATATCTTACAACTACCTTAAAGCTGACTGGGACTCTTTCCATGATTTTCTCCATGATGGCCCCTGGGTAGAAATCTTTTGTCTTTTTGCTTCTTACATAACTTCGTGGAATCAGGCTGGCATGGAATCTTTTATTCCCTCTCGACAATTCCAGATCAAGCTTCACTCTTCTCCATGGTTTTCCTCACATTGTGCTGCTACAGTTGCCTATCGAAACCATTACTTCCATATCTATCAGCAAAACAATTCTCTAGAAAACAGACGTCTGTTTATTACTGCTAGGAACCATTGTAAAAAGGTTTTGTCTAACGCCAAAGCCAGCTATTCTCAGATCATGAAATCTCGAGGCTGCCTCGAGATTTCATGAAAAAGTTAGGCTCTCGTGACTTCTGGAAAATTTTTAATAGTATCAATAATAAGGGCAAGTCTGTAATGCCACCTCTTTTGTATGGTTCAGACTTTGTCACCTCACCTAAAGACAAAGCTGAATTGTTTGCTAAGAACTTTTCATCAATATTATCTCTTGACTCCACTAGTTGCGTTCTACCTGATATAGCCGTCAAACAGGTTAATCCATTCCTTGACATTCGTATCACTCCAGCTTCTGTATCTAAAGTGATTTCCTGCTTAGACTCTTCTACAGCTTGCAGCCGGACAAAATACCTGTTATAGTCTTGCAGAAGTGTTCTTCGGAGCTGTCACCTATCCTTTCAAAACTATTTAACAAGTGCTTATCAGAGTCTTGTTTTCCAGCCTGCTAGAAAGCAGCATCTGTTATCCCTATTTTGAAAAATTCTGTAGAGCAATCCAATTCATTTAACTACCATCCCATTAATCTTCTTCATATCATAAGCAAGATTTTTGAATCTTTAATTAACAAACACTTAATCTCTCATCTCAAATCTAATAACCTACTTTCTGATCATCAATATGGATTTAACCATATTGATGATCAGAAAGTAACCATAACCGATAGCTTTTATTGTGCATTAGATAAAGGTGGAGAGGTTAAGGTCATCGCTCTTGACATTTCTAAAGCATTTGATAAGGTTTGGCATGCTGATCTTCTCAATAAGCTTTCTTCTTAAGGTGTATCTAGAAATATCTTTGAGATTATTGAATCTTTCCTTTCCAATCATAGTATAAAAGTTGTCCTTGATGGACACCACTCTTCTTCTTATTCTGTAACCTCAGGGGTTCTTCAAGGTTCAATCCTTGGCCCTATACCCTTTTTAATTTACGTTAACGATCTTCCAGATATTTTCACATCTAAGGTTGCATTGTTTGCTAATGATTCTATCATTTATTCTTGTCAGGATTAGAAGCCAACTCCCTCTGATTGCTTGCAGGGGGCATTTGAGCTTAAAAAGGATCTCACTTCTGCTACAGCATGGGACTCACAGTGGCTGGTGAACTTTAATTCAAATAAAACTCAATTTTTTTCAGCCAATCGTTATCGCAATAATTTAGACCTTATTTATGAACGGTAATGTACTCAATGAGTCATCTACCCTTCATCTTCTAGGATTAACTCTTACTTCTGATATTTCTTGGAAACCTTATATCAAATCCGTTGCAAAATTAGCATCTGCTAAAGTTGCATCTCTTTATCAAGCTCGAAACTTTCTTACTCTGGATTCTATTCTCTATCTCTATAAATCTCAAATCCTGCCTTGTATGGAATACTGTTGCCATATCTGAGCCGGATCTTCTAATGATGCTCTTTCTCTTTTAGACAAGGTGCAAAAACGCATTATAAACATAGTTGGACTTGCTCTTGCAGCAAACCTTCACATCGTCAACCTTTGTCAGATCGTCGTAATGTTGCTTTACTTTCTCTTTTCTACAAATACTATAATGGGCACTGCTCTAAAAAGCTAGCATCTCTTGTGTTATCTACTAAAACTCATTCTCGCGTTACTCGTCATTCAATTAAGTCTCATCCTTTTTTTGTTACTGTTCCTATGTGCTCCAAAAACTCTTATATGTCTAATTTTTTTCCTCGAACATCAGTTCTTTGGAATTCGCTTCCTTCATCTTGCTTTCCTGATTCATAAAATTTGCCATCTTATAAGTTGTCTGTCAATCGTTATCTTGCTCTACAATCTTCATCTTTTCTCTTTCAGCAACTTCCAACAGTAATTAGTAGTTGCTTGCAGCCTTGTTGAAAGCGAAGATGTTAAAAAAAAAAAAGTATAGTGAAATTAGGTAAAAAAGACCTAAAACCTATAAAAAAAATACAATAAAACTCAAATTTGGTACATCTTATCAGAAATATGTCCATTTTTTTTGTCCATCTACCAACAAATTGATGGTACATCAATGGGTACAAGAATGGCATCGCCATATGCTAACTTGTTTATGGGTAGATTAGATGATAAAATTCGAACCCAATTCCCAAATTTGATTTCTTTTTACAAAAGTTACATTGATGACATTTTTTTCTTATCTTTGGAAGAATTTCATGAGGTGTATAACTTCATGAATGGAATCCACCCAACTATTAAATTTATTTTTAATAAATCTGATTCTTCAATTAATTTTTTTGACATGTCACTATACAAAGACAGATATGGACATATTCAAAGTACTATATACAGAAAGCCAACAGATACAATAAGCC